CTAGAACTGCCAAAGCTCTAAGCAGGTGGGGGTCTCCTTTACCATGGTAAATGATGAACTCAGCTTTGTCTTATCCATAGATTGGGCTGGTAAGGTTTTGAGAGTGTTTTTTAAACTATTGTAAGATATATACACTATCTTGCCATGTTAAATGTAGAGTTCAATGGCAGTAAATACATTCACATTGTACAACCAGCACTACCATCCATCTGTAGATTGTTTTCATCACCTCCAACTGAAACTCTGTACCTATTAAACAGTAACACCATCCCATTACTCCCTCACTCCAGCCCCCAAATATCACCATTGTACCTTACTTTGTGTCTCTATGAATTTGACTGTTCTAGGTAGCTCTTAGGCTCAAGCGATTCTCTTGCCTCAGCCTCCCTAGTAGCTGGGACACACCCACCAGAACAGTTGGCTATTTTTTTGTTTTTGTTTTTTTAACCCACCAGCCCCAGTGCACATGGCTGGCACCCTAACCACTGAACTACAGCCCCCCCTACTTTTTTTTTAAGACAGAATCTCACTTTGTTGCCCCAGGCTAGAGTGACATGGTGTCACAGCTTATAGCAAACCAGGGCGACAGAATGAGACTGTTTCAACAAAACAGAACAATACAAAACAGAAAATTCACACTTTTGAGAAAATAGTTTGGAGAAAGAGCTACTTAAAAACAATTTTTTTTTTAGGGCGGCGTTTGTGGCTCAAAAAGGGTAGGGCGCCAGCCCCGTATGCCGGAGGTGGCAGGTTCAAACCCAGCCCTGGCCAAAAAAGAAAAGAAATTTTTTTTTTAGTGTTAACATCTTTTGCCTGCTTGATTTAGGGCTGGACATTGAGTTACTTTATATATTTATTTAATTTTAATTTATTTATTGTTGTTTCAGATGCATATGGGGGTACAATTAGGTTACAATGGCAGGGCGCGAGTGGTCCATGGAGAATCGAAGTACTTGCGGAGGATGGCCACGAAAAAGCTCAAGCCTCGAACTGGAACTGGGCTGGTGAAGCCAAAAGTTGCTGCCGGCTGCAAAGATGAGCAGGTGCGAGAGCAGCGGGCGGGGTAAAACTTGGCAAACCAGCGGAGCCCTTTCTCATCACAGACGGCCTCAATGTGGAAGTATTGCGGTTCATAGAAGTCGTTCTGGAATCCAAGGGGGAGAGAAACAGTGTCTCAGTGATACCGGAATTTCGCTCTTCACTAGGTCCTTGGTCTCGGGGATTCGAGGAATGAATCTACGGACCGCAGATCAGTGGCAAGACAGGATTTTTATCAGAAATTAGAAAGGAATACAGAAGAAGTAAAAGGCACGAGAGCTTATTGGGGGAGGAGAGAGAACTAACTGGGGAGTCTACTGGGCTCTTTATCTTGGGGTCTTGAGAATTACACTTGACCAGGACTCAGTGGGTGGAAAAACATCTTTTCAAAGTTAATGAGTGCACTAACAAATGAATGTAGTTCTTCCTGCACTAGGGCAAAGTTATAAGGTCCTTTACAGTTTTTGTCTCTGAGAAGGGATTAGGGGGTATGCTCCCTACTCAAGGTGGAACCACCTAAAAAACCATCTCAGGCTGCTTTGTTACTGATCTTATTAGAGGCCAGAGGGTGTGTCCTGAAAGAGGCAGCCAACTTGTGCCTGGAAATGGGGTCTGATTCTGAGCTCACCTGTGCCTAGAGAATGGGGGGTGGGGGGGTCCCTGTCCAGCCATGACCAGTGGAATCCTGTATCATCATGATTACAGAATGTATTCACGCTGGCTTTCAGGATGTCCCCAGGTATGGCACAATTATTGTCAAACTCCACTTTGCATGGAAGATAGCACAGAACCTTGCTCTGTGTGGGCTGGAGAGCTCTGGCCAGCACTGCCACCAGCTGCATGATCAGGCTGATATGATAACGGAAGATGTCCTGCCACGGTTCTAAGATGCTTGGGTATCTGTTAGACATTTTAGCTCTGTTAGCGTAATCATGGCTTTCTCTTATGGAAGGACAAAACTATAATGGAAAAAATGGAATCAAATCAGCTACTCTTCAGTCAGGAGGTCTCCCCCTTTTGAAATTTCTTAGAAACACCATCTCTGTGTTTGTCTTCATTCCTATGAATGCTGGTCAACTGGAAATTCGCAGTTAGTCTTGTTTTGAAAAATTCCTGTGGGCCATCCAGGTGATGAGGTCTATAGTAGGCAGTTGAAAAGATAAACCCTCATGGTCCGCCTCTTCCCCCACCTCGGTGGGCTCAGCTCCTCCTTCAGCCTGGGCTTCTCTCTCTGACCTATACTGGACTCTAGCACTGGCCGGCGGGGAGCTCCTCACGCCTGCTCTTCTGCCAAATGCGGGGAGGGGGCGCAGGTAGTCCCGCATAGCACCTTCCCTCCGTGCTGCCAGCGGCTGTGGGCTCTCAGAGCTATTATTTTAATTAATGGTTTCAAGGAGCAGTTTATCATTAAACCACTTACATCTTGGTGGGGCGGTGTTATATGCCTATAATCCTAGCACTCTGGGAGGCTGAGGCAGAAGGATGGCTTGAGCTTAGGAGTTAGAGACCAGCCTGAGCAAGAGTGAAATCTAGTCTCTTCTAAAAGTAGAAAAATTAGCCAGGCATTGTGGTGGGTGCCTGTAGTCCCAACCACTTGGGAGGCTGAGGCAGGAGGTTGGCTTGAATCCAGGAGTTTAAGGTTGCTGTGAGCAAGGCTGAGGAATGGCACTCTAGCCTGGGTCAATAGAGTGATACTCTGTCAAAAACAACAAAAAAATCCTACTTAAACCTCTCTCTCACTTTTTGGCAATAAGCCTACAACACCGGGTATTCCCAGGTAGCCTCCCATCCCAGGATTAACCACCCTGCTTAACTTCCAAACCCAGACAAGATCAGGCACATTCAGGTGGCATGGTAATAGACTTAAGTCTTACAAGATTCTAAGTCTTAACACTTGGATTCCTTAATCACAATTAAATTTTGAAAGAACTAAAATTTTTTTTTTTTTTTT